GCGATAAACATGGGTATACATATATCTACTTGGATGTCATTTATGGTCTGTTTAGGGTATATTCCCAGTAGTGGAATTGCTGGGTCAAATGGTATCTTTATTTGCAACTTTTTGAGAAAGCGCCACAAGAACCACGTGTCTTTTGATTGGCAGTACAATTCCTTACACACTAGACAACCAGAGAGCTCCCTAATTCTGAATCAGAGGGACCCTATAAAATGAAGAACTACTCCAAAGGGTTTCCAAGGCTGTAAATCTTTACAGGAGCAGAGTGCTGTATCTTTCCCCCATGGAGTATCTGGAGGGTATAAACTACTGACCTTTTGGTTAGCAGCTGGGCATTACTTAATCACTCTACCACAAGGCTCCTTCCATAAAGATTACAGCCTAGGGGACTAGGGGTAATACTACTGCATGATCACCACGAATCAGAAAGGCTCAATGGTACCCAACAACAATGTAATCCTTTTATGAGCACCCTGGAAAAGAAAATTTTATTTATAACTCTTAGGATTGATTTGCTAAGTGAAATAACAATAATTGGAAGGGAATGAACATTTAAAATGTTTCAGGTAAGACAGTGCCTCCTTGCTTTTCCGGAAGAGGAGTTTGGTAGTAACACATTAATGTACCTGTTTCTAGTGATGTTTAATCCAGGTTCAAAACCTTTGCATTTATCCACATGAAATGGACTTCTGTTAGCAGTGACCCATTTATCAAGCTAATGGAAAGCTAAACATCCCATTCTCATTATCACATGACTTATCTGGTAGGGGATCATATCACAAGTCAGGTAAATATGCCATATATTTCTTGATCTAATTTTCACATAAAAGCACGCTAAGGACAGAATCCAAAGGAGGACAATAACGACCATGTTGACAGGTATCAACTTACTGATGTTCTTTGGATAGTGTTCAAGGAGTTTCAAAGTTTCAATGCCAGCTTTATCAACATTTGGATTCTGAGTTGAACTGTAGTAGCTTACCCTATTTTTCTTGTTTACATGGATGAAATAGAAACTCCCATTAAGTGTGACATTGTGGGATGACATACTTTATCACTGACTCTTCCTTCCAGATTCCCAGGGACTCTCCAAGGTAAAGGCTTCTTTTTCACATCAGAGCCTCAGACAAAACTTGTTAGGCAACACAGAAAGTTCTCAATATTTACTGATAATCTGACAGGAATTTTATGAAAAACTGCTGCCTTTCCAAAGAACACTGGGGGTTTAGTGTGAAACTGGGCTATCTGAAAGGCCAAAGTTTGAGTCTACCAGCTGCTCCTCGGAAGATGGACAGTCTCATACAGATCCTCATACACATTTACAGCCTTGGAAACCTGACAGAGGGTTGCTATGAGTTGGAACTAATTTTATAGCACTGAGCATTGTTTTCTGGTTGTTAGCGTCAAGGAGCCCTGGCCATGTACGGTGTTAAGTGTTGGACAGCTAACATACAGGTTAGTGGTCTCAATCTACCAGTCGCCCCATGAAAGCAAGCTGGGCAGTCTCCTCCCTTAAAACACTTACAGCTTCAGAAACCTGACAGAGAGCCACTGAGTCAGAATAGACTCGAAGGTAGTTGGCTGATTTGGGAGTGGATCTGTAAACACGATATTCATTCATCAAAAACACATCCTTGGACAATGCCAGGGTTGGAAGACAACCCACCCTGCCCCCCAAAAGTAAAAAATTCTACTTATAATTTATAGCTGACCCTGGGACAACACGGTTTTGAATAGCAAAGGCTATATTGGGACTGTTGATGTGTGCCACTGAGTCAGAACAGACTCACAGCTGACCTTCTGGTGGGTTTCCCGAGCCTGTAAATCACTAGTGAGGAGGTTGCCTAACTTTTCTCCCTGGTAACAGCTGGTGGATTTGAAGTGTCCATCTCTGTGGGGTGAAGCCAACTCCTCACCCACTAGGTCACCAGAGAGACAATATTGGGAGTATCCACTGAAAATGCCAGTTGATACTGCTAATCATCTCCTCCAGCTTGTTCCTTCTCTCCAGGGAGATTATCACCAACACTTGGATTTACTGCAATACAGAGGAAATATTTTCATGTTAAGTGAGCACAAAGAGTTCAAATCTGTACTATTTGTGTGTTAATTGACACTCTATAGAGACAGCAACATGTGTAATGGAGCAAAGAGGCATTTAACTGTTAATTGTCAAAAAACATTTGCAAACATGTTAAAAAACACTTTGAAACAGATAAACAGAACACAAACGGCACGCCAGTGGATTTAGTATTTGTCTGTGAAACACCTTCATGCTTACCAGTCTATTAGAATCACCTTCTTTAATGCAACGTGGTACATTTGCTTTGGTTGGTTCTTCTGACACCGATTTTGTTGCCCCATTCCTTTAACCCTGCCCACAAACCTCCTTCTTTGACAGCGGCAATGAGGGGCTGCTTCTTCAGCGTGAAAATATTTTAGAATTCCAAAATGTAAAAGTTACCGTTTCCTCCACAGCAATTCTTTCAAGTTCCTGAAAACTTTCCCCGCCTCCCACAAAAGAGGAAAACCTGAGATCACCAAGAGAAAAATAATCTTTTAAAATGAATTTCTAGTTAAAATTGGTTTGAGGACAAGCAAACGAATCTATTTACAAATGAAATCTTTCCTAGGTTTTGTTGATCTCAGGTGTTATTTCTCTCAAAAGAATTATTATTGACTCAGAAGCCGAGAAAACAGGTGCTGGGCCGTGCAGGGGGTTTGTCTACATCAACCTTTTCTGGCTCGTTTCTTTGGCAAGGAGCCTGGAAGTTCAGGTAATCGGTCCTGTAACTCTCTCATCACCTTCGTGGGGTTAGGGAAAAGAAGGAGAGGTGTAAAATATGAAAGAGGTAGAGAAAATGTGGTGGACCGGCAAACAGCGTGACATTCTTCAACTGGAGCAAGGGGCCAGGGTCCGGTCTCCAGGTGCAGCCCCTCCAAATGACATTTCTACTTTCTGCTGTGCCTTTCTAATGCGGAAGGGGGGGGGCACACCGCAATTTACGAAGAGGGAAGGGATGAGAAAAGAAAGGGAAGATATTCAACCTCGTGAGAACTTCTGCATCGACCAGGCGAGCGATGTCCGTCTAATCGCCGCCGGCTCGCGAAGGGCCCAGCAAGCCCCACGCCCGACCGGGCTTCCTCTCGCGCTCCTGCTACCCACAAGCCCCCGCGCACCACCGCGCAGGCGCAGCGGCGTTGGCCGGCTCAGGAAGAGGAAAATGGAATAAACAACTCCGAGGAACCAGAGTGCGAGAGAGCTAGTGGAGGCAGAATTTAAAAATAAACCGCCCCCTCGGCGCTCCCCACTCCCTGGCCGCCGCCACTTTCCCGTCCCCTCCCCGCGCCCTCGGAGTCCCCGCCTGGGCCTGCGTGCCCACCCCAGCATCCCGCGCGGCCCCTTTAAGAAAAGAGAACGAGTGAGTGAGTGAGAGAATCCCAACTCTCCCCCTCCCCTCCCTCCTTCCTACCCCTCCTCCCTTCCCTCTCCCCTCCCCCTCTCCCCGGGCGGCTCCGGCTCCCGCAGCGGGACAGACCCACCCGCCCAGGCTTTTATCCGGCACCGGCTGCGTCTTCCTTCCCTCTCCCGTCTATGGTGGCGGCAGTGGCGGCGGCGGCTCCTCGGGCGGCAGTGGAAGACGGGGCTGCGGCGTTGCCATGAACAGTGGCGGCGGCCTCCCGCCCCCCTCGGCCGCCGCCTCCTCGTCCTCCTCCTCGCTGGCGGCGGCAGTGGCGGTGGTGGCCCCGCCGGGGGTGGGGGGTGTCCCCGGCGGGGCGACGGCGGGAGTGAAGCTCAAGTACTGCCGCTACTACGCCAAGGATAAGACTTGCTTCTACGGGGAGGAGTGTCAGTTCCTGCATGAGGACCCCGCCGCTGGGGCTGTCCCGGGCCTCGGCCTCCATAGCAACAGCGTCCCCCTGGCGCTGGCGGGCCCGGGGCCCGGGGCCGGCTTTCCGCCCGGAGCGGTCCCGGGCGGAGGAACCGGGCCGCCCCCGCCGCCGGGGCCCAAGAAGCCGGACCTGGGGACCCCTGGAGCCGGAGCTGCCAGCAGCGGAGGCGGCAACGGTGGGGGACTCGATGGACCACGGCTGGCAAGTGAGTGTGGCCCGGGCGGGAGGGCCGGCGGGCGGAGGGCCGGCGGGCAGGCCTGGGGCCGGATGCGGCCTTGCTCCGCCCGGCACCCCCTCACCTCCCCGGCCGTGCGAGCGGCCTAGGCCCGGAGGAGCCCACCTTCCTGCTTCCTGTCCCCTCGGCCTGCGGCGAGCCCGGGAGGCCGGGTGTCCGGGAGCGTGGGTGGGTGCACTGGGGTGGTGGGAGTGGGGGCGGGGAAGCCGGGGGATGGGCTGTGGCGTGCGGCGAGTGAGAAAGGGGGTGTCGTTTCCGGGGGGTGTGGAAAGGGGCCGGGTTTGCAGGCACATGTGTCTGCGCGCCCGTGCGGTGCGGAGTCCGCCGAGGGCCGAGGTCCCAGTGGGTGTGCGTGCGGGCCGGGGGCGGGCACGCAGGGCGGGCTCAGGCTTGCTGGAGCTGCGCAGGTAGCGAGCGGGGGAAAGTTGAAGGCAGGCTTGCGGGAGACGTTTCCCCAGCAGGAAATGCTTTCTAAGGATTAGGAGTGAGGGACCTTTTGGAGCGCACTGGATTTTTCATTGAGAGCTTGGGAATTTCACAGGACTAGAATTTTTAAACTCGATTTCCCCTGCAAGCTGCAGCTTTGTTGGCTGGTTGGCCATAGGATCCTGTCTACAACTTTGTATCCAGCGAGTGTTGGGTGGTGCCTGGAAAGCCTGTTGGGTGCAGCACACACTTGTGAACGTACGACTGAGCACGTTTGTTTATCGTGTGACTTTTTCTTTAATTATCTGTTGACTTGCAACCTTTTAGTTGTTAGAACGTGGAGTTTACAATGATAAATAAACGGAGAGGTAGCCTTAAGGAGAGAGTAGAGCATATGCCAAATATTCGCGATTTTGTACCTAGGGAACATTTAAGTATTGTCTTGATGCTTTGCAAAGTTAAAATAGCTTTTAGATTTTAAAATATTTTGATAGTTGTGCAAGTGTCTGTTCCCAACAGTGAAATTGGCATGATTTTTTAGGGCAGTTTACTCTATGAAGATTATTTAATAAGTACTTTTCTCAGGAACTTGATTTTTGAACATGCATTTCTTTGAATGAGATATATTTGGTGAGATTGATTAGTTTAAGAAGATTAATTGATAAGGTCATGTTTTGTGGGTGTTTTTAAGTTCTTGGAAGAATTTTGTCTTTTTGGAGCAGCAATACTGCATTTTCAAAGTGAACTTTTTCTAGCTCTGTAATAGCTCCAGTTGATTTAAGGGTAACAGTAGGTGAAACGGAGTAGGAGTTGTGTTAGCCATTGAAAGAAGCATTTTAAAAGACACTGCTGTTTGATATAATCTGTAATCTTGAAAGGATTTTTCTAGCAAACGCGGTGGTCAAGTCAGGACATAAGAAATAGGTAAGCATTTTAGGTGGGAGAAAAGTGATCAGTGATTCTGTGTCTCAGGAAGTATAAGGCTTTGAAAATGGTCAGTTTTACAAAATTAATATATAGTAATTTCATAGTTACTCGATTAAATTGATGATTTATGAGTATGAATTCTGTTGTCCAGTTGTTAAAGCATTCACCTTGTAACCAAAAGATCTCTGGTTGGATCCCACCAGCTTTTCTGTGGGGATAAGATATAGTCCTCTCCCACCAAGATTACAGCCTGGGAAGCCCTGTGGGCATTTCTACTGTCATATGGAGATCAGTGACTTAATGGTAAGGAGTTGCACTGCCAATACTAAGTTCAAATCCACCAGTTGCTATGTAGAAGTAAGATGGGCATTCTCTTGTATAGTTTACTGCCTGCCTCTGAAAACCCACCAGAGTGTCAGTTAAAAGTTAATTCTGATTCAAAGATATATAACCTAACAACACTGCCCTACAGAGTTCCTGTTTCCTTTAACTTGGCTTGTGTTTACCTAGGCTGTGACTCCTTTTGGATGAGAGAAAACTGCCCCAAATCAACCAGCAGTGAGTCACCTGTGACAGTACTGGCTGGTGGTGGTTTCATGGCTGCACTGAATTCCTCACATTTAACTTTGTCTTTTAGTTCTTCTAAGGTTGACTTGTCATCTCGTAATTAAACACTAGCAGCCATTAGTAATAGAGGACACATTCTAAGAGGTACTGCTTTTAGGAGTAATTTATATTTTATTAGTTGCTGATGAGAGAACCAATTTTATTTATCCCCATTCTCTTGTCATTTTTCTTGCTCTTGTTTAAACTGTAAGAAAATGTAATGTTTCTTTAGTCACAGATTTGTCTGCTTTGATAAACTTAATTTGCCTGCAGAAACTGTTTGATCTCCATGGCATAATTTTTTAGTGACATTAAGAAAATAGGTAAAAATAGTGTCCAATTGGTAACTTTCTGGAATTTTTGTAAGATGGACACATACTATGCGCTCAGATCCAGAAATAGAATATGTATTAAGGTTCAGGTCCCAGATTCTAGGCTTTCCTACTAGATTCCAACATTATAAACTAAAGTTGGATTTCCTTGAAATTGATAGGAATGGAATCAGGTGTTATGTGCTCTTGTGGGTTGCTGCTTTCAACAATGTTTGTGACCTACCTTTGTGTGCAGGATCAGCCTACCCCCTTTAGTCTCATTCATGCAGGATTCCCTGAGATGAATGTACCCCATGCTCTAGTCTCATTTGACTGTAAGCGTTTGGATTGCTTATTCACAAGAGTACTGCACTGAACAGTCTGTGTTTTTAGGGCAAACAAATGAAACATTTAATTTCTTTTGAATCACCTTGGAGTGAAATTGCTGGGCCATAGGTAATAAAGTAACATGCATGTTCAGATTTAGTAGTGAATGCCCTAAAATTTTCGGAAGTGGCTGTACCACAATTAGTCTGCTACCAGCAGTGTGTCATAGTTTGGATTGCCTTACATTCTTACCATTACTTATTATTCATCTTCATTTTAGTCATAAAATAATCATCATATTTAGTTTTTTAAGGCACTTTGCTGGCATAGTGTGTACTTCATTATGCTGCTAACTGAAAGATTGGTGGTGTGAATCTAGCACCTCTGTGGGATAAAGTTGGACAGTCTCTTGTTAAGATTTTACAGCCTCAGAAATCTGAAGGAAGGCCACTATGGGTTGGTATCAACTGGACGGCAATAGGTCAATGTTTGTGGGTTCCTCCTGGCACTGTGTTAAGCTCTGGGCTACTAGGGTTAGAACCTGTTAGCTGCTTTCTGAAGGAGGAAGCTGTGACACAGTCTTGTTTGGTAAATATTTACAGCCTCAGAAGATCTATGTGACAGTGGTACTCTGTCCTTCAGGTTCTCTGTGGGTTGGAATCTACTTAATGGCAGTGAGTTTTGTTTGTTTTGATAGTGTTTATGGTGTAATTTTTTGTGGGTTCTACGTAATCTGTACTGGAATCAAGGTTGACTGTTAACTTGGCAACTTTGGGAATGTCTGTTGCCCCCACTTTTTTTTAACCCCTGAGTTTTTTACCTTTGTGTTAGTAGTACATTTGCAGAATTGTCTTGTTAGTATTCCTGATGGAGTATTTAAAGCAGAACCTTGGAGGAAGGACAAGAGAATAATGTTATCTTTATTTCCCAAGCATTGGAAAACAAAACACAAAGGATTTTACCCCCTTTCTTCACTTAGCAGCAATGGTATTTCAATCTTGTAAACTCCCTTTTTCATGAATACACTGTATTATTACCTTTTATCTGTGAGGGTATTGTGTAAATGGCCATGTGTGGTAGTTTCATGTTCCAGTGTTCATGTTTAGGAAATGTTCATGTAAAGTTTTTGAAGCATTTGTTTCTGACTTTAGGTATTTCTTTTGGACTTGGGACTTCTAAGCCTTAAAAGTGGTTTGATTTAGGTTAGGTTGAATTTTTTATTTATGTTTTGATTCTGTGATGCTAATACTTCAACTACCGAGACAAATATTTATGTCTGTACTTGTATATTTATGTACATTGCTGCTTTAGAACCCTAGTGCATTCATTTGCGCAAAATTTTTTTAGTTCAGCTAATTTTTGGTCATAGTGAAATCTTTGAACTAATATGTATTTAAAGTAGAATCTCAACTTTTTACTAGCTTTGTGAACTTTGAAAAAATTTTATCCACTTATCCTGATTTTTTAATTTTAAAAATGAGGATTGTTTGGGGGATTGCCAGCACATGGCCTGTAGCATAGTTAACTTTTTGGCTTAGTTGTGGCTGTTCTTGTATTTTTGTTAATTATAAATCAGTACTTAACGCCTCTGTCTCCTCCCTGCATTTTTTTTAACATTTTTGTGTGAGTGTACCGTCAAATCAGATCTGACTGGTACAGGAGATTGTTCCTCCTTTTCCCGGCAGAGCATCTGGTGAATTCGAACCGTGTGCCTCTGGGATTGTAGTTGCAGCTCCTTGCTACTAAGCCACCAGAGCTCCCCACCTCCCTGCATTTTTAAGTCAGGTTGGGTAGACTTAACACTAGGTGGCTAAACTGTGGTTGCTCCTGGAGTAGAACAGTGCATACAGAATTGGAAAGTCCATATATATATATACTTTGTAATATTTATTGCAGTTTTTGTTTTAACCAGGATTATACTTTTTTAAAATTTAAATTTATTATTAATTTCAGTAAAAATTTAGAGACTTTGGATTTCCATTCATTCATTGTTGCACTTTTCTCTCCTCCCAACCCTTCCCCCAGTACACTACCTTCTTGCAAAAGTAAAAGAAAAATTCTTTCATTGTTTTACAAACCCTCCCCCAGGTCCACTCCACCATGTAGCCTTCGCTGTAGACTCCTTTCATGACAAAAATACCCAATCACATATCCCTTTTAAACAGTTTTCTCCGTCATCTGTTTCAGTGCAGTATACATTGTTGAACCCATCTTTCTCAGTCTCTCCCCAACCCCAAGGTCAGTCCTGTTTTACAACCATGGTACCATGCAGTATTTGTCCCTTTGTGACTGAGATACCTCACTCAGCATAATGTCCTCCAGGGGCACCCATTTTGAATAATATTGCATGAGTTCCTTGTTTTTCAATGCAGC